GGTTTTTCTTTATTACTTTTAGCAAATGAAGAGTTCAAATTCGAGTACGAACCGCCGGAAAGTAAAAGGGCGCATAAAATTTGTACGGCCATTCGAGTTGGCCCCTGACGCTTGAAATATAGATTTAAAAAAAAAATTTTTTTATTACTACATTACTGGAAATTTTATGCCGCATCTTTTTCCTTCTATGAAAAAAATCTCTATCTTCTTCGGTTTTCGAGTAAATCGAAAAAACTGGATTTTTAGAAAACACAAGTTTAATTAAATTTTTCACTTCAACTCGCTCTAAAAAACAAAGTTATAAATATTTTTTGACAAAATTCACAGGAATTATAGTTTAAACTATTCTTAAGACGACAAACTTTGTATGAATGTGATTTTTTTATTTCGAAAAAAGTTATGAATTTTTTTGTTTCACAGTGACAAATTTACGTTTCCAAATTTTCAAGGGCTTCGTTTATCTGAAAAATTTTCAGTCAGTGAAAACTTATCCCGAAAAAAATGTTCACTAGGGTCTTACAAACATTTTTGTAAAATATTTTTGCAATTGGAATAGCCGTTTACGAAATATTATTGAAAAACTATTTTCCGTCAAACGCGCGCGAGTCAAAAACTTCCCGTTTGTGTAGAGCCGGCTAGTACTCGGCGGTGGCTACCAAGGTCCTTTATGTTTCCTAATTGAAACAAAGGTGCATTAATAAAGAAAAAATATGAAAAGTATTTGATTATTTACCGTTTTATCAGCAAACATAAAAAATTACAGAATTGCATAATACTCCTGATATTAGTAGAAAAAGAAATATCAATAAAGATAAGTGTCAATTTTCAAATAGCTTATCAGAAGAGGCAGCATTACTTACTAGTAAGTGGTATACATATTCTGAAATGCCCCGAAAAAGAGTTCAAAATCTTGTAGAAGATGTAACTCAATTTTTAAACGGAAAAGCTGTAAAAATTTTACGCGAGACAATTTTAAATAATATATAATTCGAAGAGTCCGCCGGTTTTGATATTAGATCTATGTTGGACAGTTTAAAAACACCATTTTTAAAATTAGATTCGGAATATTTTCGTTTGAAACATTTTAGGACAAGTGGAAATTTAATTGAACCGATACAAAATAAAATTAGAGAAAGAGAAAAATTTCGTGAAGACAATGGTAAGCATATTAGTGTTCTGGTTCCTGTATGCCCTTAGTACATTTATCTTCGCGAAGTTTTGCAAAAATTTTTTGAATTGCCAGGCATGTACAATGACGTCATAAAATATAATGATTATTTAAAATCGAATTCAGATATCATTTCAAATTTAATTCAAGCAGATTATTGGCTGGAAAAATGTAGTACTTTTGAAAAGAAAACGAAAATACAACTAATTGTTTATTTTGATGATTATGAGACTAATAACGACATATAGATAACTGATTGGAAATTTTTCGAGGATTTTGAATTTGGGCTTAGTTTTTGTCTATATAACTGCGCATGCGCACAAAAAAGGAAATACTGTAAGGAAACCTTGAAAAAATTTGAATTAGCTAAGTATTTTGCATAAAAATGGTTAAAAACTCAAAATATGCAAATTTTAGGTATAACCATTTTAAAGTATAGCTTTTCAGCTGTCTTTCCTGAAAATTAGAGCCAAATCGAAATTGGTGTTTTTGAGTTATGAATTTACAAAAAAAACAGTTTTTTTAATCTACTGCGCATGCGTTTAGAGATAGCTCAAAAATTCCAACGGCATTGAATTTTTTGGAAAATTTCCCATCGACTAGTACCTTTTCAATTTTTTTTTTGAGCAAAATTAACATTTTTTCGAGCAGAAATGGTTTTTTCAATCTTCATTTTGAAAGTTGTCACTTTTCACGAAATTAACGATTGTGAATGTTCTTTATGAGATAGGGGCTTGAAACTTTGGCTAGTTGAGTATTTTTAGAGGTAGAATACGCCTAAAAAATTTGAGCCAAATCGATAACTTGTCACCACGGAGGAATAGTAAGGAGACCGATCTCTGCGTGTGAAAATGTCAGAAAAACATGTACGATAAGTGCCAGGTTCAGTGCATTGTACTCAACTGGCCAAAGTAGTTGAGCATGCGCATTGGACCTCAATTTTGACAGATGAAAAGTGTGGTTATGCGATATACATATATGATGTCACAAAAAAAATCTTAGTGTTCAGTTTTTATTTCAGAAATTTTATTTACCATTACGATATTGTATCTCCAAAATCATGTGTAAGTATATAATAATGTATGCTATTGGAATATTTAAAGTGTCAATAAATTGAAGTAATTATTAAAAGAATAATGGAGCCATAGTAATTACAAACATATTATTTATTATGTATGTCATGAAAAAGATTTTTCTTACATCCTGGCACACAGCACGACATTTTAAAATAAACATTAATAATAATTATTAAAATAATAACAATAATAACACATAACCCCTTCATCACAACACGCATGGAAGACTTGAGAAATATACGTCAGCCAGATCTCACTCGCACACTTTTTGCGAGAGAAAGAGAGAGCACATGGCTAATGCGCATGCTCAGCTACTTTGGTGGTTGAGTAGAATGCAGTGAAACTGGCACTTATCGTGCATGTTTTTCTGACATTTTCAGAAGCGCTACTACAGCAAGATCGGTCTCCTTACTATTCCTCCGTGCTTGTCACCGACAACTGTTCGTTTTATCCGTGGAATCCCTCTGTAATTAAATCTTAAAAACGTATATAAACAATCATACCACAGGTGTTTAAAATAAGACTTTAATATATATATATATATATAGAAGTCTCTATCACGTCAGATTAAGGAGAAAAAATATTAAAAATCCTCAAAAACACTGTTTTTAGATACTTTACCCTCACTTTACTCAAAATCCTGACGTGATACGCTATTTCGGAGCTCAGATTCGGTTTCAGTGGGCCAAAATACTATAGGAAATATATGTCTAGTTTAAGAAACAGACAACTTTTTTTTTGTGTGCCTGTGTAAATGTTCGAAATGTGGTCAGAAGAAGAAAAGAAGACTTTAATCCCTTTAAATTAAAAATTTTGATAAAGCGAAAGCTAAAGATTGATTTTAAAGTATTGGGCATCTCACCCGTACGCCTATGGCCATCTCCCCCGTACATTCCGGGAGAGATGGCCAAACACGTTTTTTAAAAAATATTCATTTTAAGATTGTTTGCATTTAAAAAATTTCTTATTTCTATTATTATTTGTAAGTTAAATGTTCAATGTTTAAGTATAGATTCTCATAAAAAATAAAGTTTATAATATTATTACTATTCTTTATTTATCTCTATTTTTCCCCTTTTCCTAAAAGTATTGGTACAATTAAAGTTGGACCAATACAATCAAAATAATTTTTGATAGGACCTTTTCCAAATTTTGCCGATACAATTTTAGTTGTATCGATAAAATTTACTCTTTAAAATTCTATATTCCTTAATTTTCCTACAAGAAAATTGAAACACAAAATTATTCCCAGAGTAAGATGCCCCTCGCAATTGAATTATTGTTCTAATTATTGTATTGTATGGATGTATGTGCGTGCACTAAATTGTATTATATCGTCATTCATTTTTCTCACCTTTTAGATATTCGAAAAGTAGAGGATATAAGCTTTAAAAAAAGTCTTTGTTTATTGTTTTATCTTTATTAGAAACAAAAATATAAAACTTTTTGCAACGCCTAAAATTCTGTAGGGTGTGCAAAATCTACTGAGCGGCACTGAACATGTTCAGCTGCTGAACTTGTAAATTTTCTTGAACAAGATCTTGTACAGGGATTTTTAGTGGAGACACTTAGAAGAAATTCAGGTGATTACATTTCGAATGAAAACATTACATTTTGCGTTTCTACTCTTAAACCATTTTAACATAAAAATAAATAACATTCAGGCACACGAAATAAAATTTCCGGCCTGAGAAATAAAATACATGGTCTGAATCCTAACATTAAATTATGTTTTTTATTGGTATCTTTGTCAAGGTTTTTTAGAGCGGATTCGGTTTCAGCGACCTCAAAAAAATTTATTAAACATGATTTGTACCCAAGGTCAGAAAATTTTTATTTTGTGCATGTACTTTTTTAAATTTATGCTTGTAAAATATTTTTAAATATAAAATATCGACAAATCATCATGACATTCTTTCAGCACTAAATTTGACTGTAAGAATACTTACACATTGTCATATTTTTAGTATGAAGCGGATATCTCTATTCAAGTATATTCAGAACTGTTACTTGGTAAAAGAGCGCGTGCGAATCGATGCAAAATTTGCTTAACACAACATTTGAACAATTTCAAATATTTTTTACTGGCACATGCCTTAGTAACACTGACTATTTTGCCATCGTTGTAGGTATGTTCTAGTAGGTCCTTCTGTACGTTCCGTTGGTTTGTTCCTTTAAGGTGAACAAGTTCGGTCTTGTTTTCAGTAGGCCAGGCATGTTCTGAGGCTACGTTCCGGGAACATTTTTCGTCCCCTTCAGAAAAAAATTTTCGAAAACAAATTTTCTTTTGTGGGGCCAGTATAATTTAAAAATGATTCATGTCAGTTACAATAAGAAGTTTTAAAGTTCCTTGAAGGAAGCACAAAACACGTTCCTAGAACGTAGCGCAGCCTGAGAATGTATCTTATCTACTGAAACCTAAAACAGTCTTCTTTCTTTAATTTGATACGCATCAAAAATGAGACCGGCAGATGGCGCCACGTTCTATGTCATTTAACATGAATTCATTTTGAGATGCAACAAATATGAGTCCAACTTTTTTCTGTGTGCCAGTACCAACCAATGGAACGTACCGAAGCTTTAGAGCTATGTGTTAAAAATCCCATTTGACTTATTTCTCTCAGCTACGTAATGAAAAACACATTAACTGTTTTTTTTACGTCAAAAATATTGGTACAAAATACTGATATGCAATACCTATTAAAAAAATTTAAATAAAAAATATTAAAATCATAATTGAAAATTTTTATATTTACCTGCACATTGAGTAGTAATTGGACTAGGATCTCTAGACCTGACGACCTCACGGGTCATTTTTTCGACCTTTGATTCGTACGATACAATGTATTTTTTTACTCTACTGTCATCTTCTTCAGAACTTTTAATAGATATCTCCAATTCTACTGAGTCTGGTTCACCGCCATATTCTGGTTCGACTATTTCAGGAATCTCCTCATTATCAGTCGCTTGAGATCTCCTGCCATCTGATGCATAACTTTGCTGTTGACTATCTGCACCAGGTCCCAGTTCTCGTACACAGTGACACTCGAGTTCTTCTATTTGTTGCTGTCGCCTCTCTTCTTCTTGTCTTGATCTCTCCTCCTCTTCTAAAATAATTTAATACAGCTTTGTAAAAAATTAATTATAATACTTATTGACTCTAATACTCAATGCCTATTACGCAATTTAACCTCTTAAAAAATTATCTCACTGATTCAAAAGGAGCGCGTATATTTTTAACATTGTTTAACCCTCGGAGCACACACCTCTTTTTTCAAACAAGTAGCACAGTCTGGGTCGCTGTGACCCTGTTTACTTTACAAAACTCCCCCATTTTTTAACTATTGGACTGATCAACACAAAAAAAATATTTTTTTATTCATTGAACCTTGTAAAATAAGAATATGCAGTTTAGAAATATTATTAAATTATTTGAATATTGAAAAAAAATTCGTGAAGTTAACTAATTAAAAAGAAAAAATTGAATTTAAAAAAAAAATGTAACTTTTGTAATTTTTAATATTTTAAGCTAAAAATTGGGATTTATATTCTCGAAGTGTGTTAGAATAAGGGAAAAAATACCACCTTATTTTATTTTTTAAAAAAGGTATTTATTTTGTAGTTTAACGAAGGTAACTTTTAAGACGATAAAAATGTGATTTTCGACACAACTTTTTAAAACTATACTTTTTTAATAACATATTTACTAGTATTTTATTATTTTCTTTGGATTATCATGTTACTTATTATTCCTTATTAGTTAGTTACCACTATATGGCCTTAGGTTCGTGTTGTATTGCCGACTTTTCAAATTACACTTTAGTGAAATTAATGACAGGGTCTGTGTGACCCAGTATGTGCTCCGAGGGTTAAAAATAAAATCACAAATATAACTGATAAAATCTCTTAAAAATTTTTAAAAATAAGATCTTACCCATATGTTACATATCATCTCAATTCATCGAATAGTTTTATTAAATAGACAATCCATTAGGTGGATATTTAGTTTAATAAAATTTACTTGAAATAAATATACAGTTAGATGGATATAAAGCATTCTCTAAAAAAGCTACCCCCAAAAAAATTTCTGGAATTGGCTTGATACTTTGCTACATTGTTGTCCTGTATAAAAGTAACAAAATCTTAAAATATAAACTTATATTTTGAAAAATCATAAAAAGTAGAATTGGATAAATTTCCAAAATTTTATTAATTTCTCATGAAATTCGTTACTCGGGAATTTTTGGGATCACCAATTACAAAAAATCATCCAATTTTAAAAAACTCATGTTCTTTAGCCATTAAGGGGACGCCTACTTTATAGAAGACCAAAAAGTGTGTAAATTTCAGGAATTTTATTCTCAAATACAATGAAATAAATTGTAAATATATAAAATAAAAAGAAACGTATTTCATGTTTTTCTACAAAGAATAAGAACAAAATTTTTGTTAACTTTTTTTTCAAGTTCGGTCATTTTTATTTTATTTTATTTGTTTTGAAACTTAAAAATGTGTATTTTCACCATAAAAAATCTTGAAATGTCATTTTTTGTTATTTTCGAGATATTAATTAATGAATTAATTACTGTTAATATAACATAAAATATTTTACAAATAAATAAAGTTATTGCAATTTTAAAGCTACCTATTGAAAGCTGACGTAATTCCGCATGCAACGTGCCCTATATAAACTATTTTGGATTAGAGGATTTTTTTATAAACAATTACAATGTTAGCCAATTGTTTGTTAACAATCCACTAATCCAAAGTACTTACTATAGGGCTCGTTGGATGCGGAATTATGTCAACTTTCATTTATTAACGTCAGAATTACGATAACTTTATTTGTTTTTAAAATATAAAAGTCAAAAAAATGTTTGATTTAAAAAAAGGTCAAATTTTGAATTTTTTGAAAAATTGGCTAAACTGCAGAATAGGTACGTAAAGAGAGAACTTGTCTTCAGTATGTGACAGGTAGTGATGACAACTATATTAAAATTAACGCGAGAAATTTAAATTCTCTTAAATATTTACTTAAAGGCATATCAATTTAGATTTTCATAAAGTAAAAGTTCAAAAAATCAAAATTAACGTTGTCAAAAATTGTGGTGTCACTACCGTGGTATTCCGTTTTCAGAGGTGAGAATTTTTTAAAATAAAAGTTATACTTCTCTGACATAGATATAGATATCAACATGCTAAATTATTTCGGAAACTTGATAAAAATAAAATGGCTATGAGTAAGACATAAAATAAATTGTACATATCACTATCGTGGCACATCGCAAAATGTCTCTACAGTGTCACTTCATGGAACATGTCACTTCATGTGGTTGCATTTAACCAATTACTTTTTTGTTCTTAGTTTTTTTGTAATAATTCGATGATATTATTGCGAAATTATATTTTGTATAAATAAAATTATAAATTAAATATTATTATCAATTATTATTATTATACTTTATTTACTCTCCCTGCCAATATGCAGGGTTCGAGGATCCATTATACCTGAGCATTCTATTCCATTTATCCTCATTCTCATTCTCTTCAAATATTGAGGTATTTCGCTCCTTTTTATCATTCCATACCATCTATTATATTTCGAGTTCAATATCCTTTCTCATCTTTCATCCTTATCTTTCTCTTCCCATCCTTTTCTCACCTCTGTCCATTTTCTACCTCCTTTATCCCTTCACTTATTGCATCTAATCTCGCACTCTCCGACCTTGACAATTCTCTCTTTCTTTTCACTTTTCTTTCTTTCACTTGCAACCAGCACATTCTCGTCCAACTACACCCTCCACCCTGTCTTAACTTCTCCTCAAAACTCCAAGCTCTACTTCTCTGCCTTACTCTCATTTTCTCTCTTCCAATCTCTTCTCTTAACATATAAGCCGGGCAGTTCCAACTAACACCCATAACCCATCTCAGATATTTCTCATGCATACTTTCCACTTTTTCCATTTTCATCCATCCCCATACTTCCACACCATAACTCAACACCGACCACACTAACATATCACAGAACCACAATCTCTTTTTTCAATCATTCTTAAACCTTTCTTTCCCAATTCCCCACACTTGTCCCAATACCTTATTCGTTCTTTCCACTCTCCTACTTACATTAAACTCATGCCCTCTATTATAATTCAACCAAAATCCCAAATAACAAAATTCATCCACTTCTTCAGCCACTCTTCCATTCATTCTTCATACATTCTGCTTTCTATCTCTTTCATTCATAAACCTCATCACCATAATTTTCTCCACATTTATCCATAAATCTTTCTCTCTCACATATTTTTCAAATTCCCCAATCATCAACCTCATGCCAGCCTCATTCTCAGACATTAGGACCACATCATCCGCATATGCGAGTGAGTAAACTCTCCCTTTTCTTAACATTATCCCCCTTCCCCTCTTCGTTTAAATTTCTCCTCTAAGTCCGCCATCAACAAACTGAAGAGAAGAGGACTTAGTGGACATCCCTGCATCAGTCCTCTACCCAGCCAAAACTCCTCCCCAATTTTTTCTCCTATTCTCACTTTCGCCCTCACGTCTGTATACATCTCCTTGATCCTTTCCACTGTCCCTTCTCTAATCCCTCTTTTTCTTAGTACCTTCCACAATATGCTCCTATTTACCGATGGGAAAGCTGCCTTAAAATCCACAAAAAGTGCAATTAATTTATCTCCTTTCTCTTTTAAATTTGTTTACTAAATAGTTGAGAGTGTATATATGATCCACTGTGCCCATACCTTTCCTGAATCCTGCTTGATTATGTGGTATAACCCCTTTGTCCTCAACCTCTTTTCCCAATCTATTCCGGAGTATCTCCGCGTATACCTTATAGGTTACTGGCATTAGAGTTATACCACCATAATCATTACGGAACAATTAGTCCCGTTCTCTATTTTTCCGGCCATCCATTCCATTTCCACGTTTCCTTGACAATTTCGCCTACCACTTGCCTCACTTTTTCACCTCTATATTCCATATTTTCGCCTCATTTACTTCTTCATTTGCAATATCTTCCACGTCATCCTCTATCATCATCCTTCTTCCTTCCCCCCTTACTTTGTGTCCCGTTCCCCCACTCAAGTTTATAAAATATTTAGTCCCAATTCTTTCACATCCACACTTCCCATTTCCTTTTTCACCTTATCAATTTTGTTTCTTAATTTTAATTATTTATTGAATGCTCTCTCTTCCTCGTCCCATTCTTCCATCTCCTTCTGGATTCTTTCCTGAAACTCGCCTAATCTTTCCGCATTCCATTTTCCCATTTTAACATTCTTTTGTTTCCCAATTCACCTGTTCTACTCTACTTCTGTTTCTTTTTTCCACATTCCTTAGTTCTACCACCAAAAGAAAATGGTCAGAACCTATTTCTCTCCCTACTTTCACTTTAGCTGTTTCTTCCCTCTACATGTGTCAAAACATAATCAATAACCGTCTCTCCTTTGCCCTTGTGGGTAAAATTTCCTTCCTCGTCTCCTCTCATATTTGTTAAAAATTGACCATCCTTCTTCTTCCAATAATTGTAATAATCTTTTACCTTCTTCGTCCACTTTCTTATGTTTTGATATTCAAACGTATTTTTCTGTCTCTTCATCCCATAAACCACCCCCCAGTTCTCCCGTCCACGCATTTAAATCCCCCTTATTATTACCTTTCTATCTTTCCCTCTTTGCATCCAATCTTTTATAATTTCCCATCCCTTTTCGTCACCTTTTTTTCTATATCCCCGTGATAATATTCTTTCCTCATTCTTCTATTCTTTCCTACCCACCCATGTCTCACTAAGAAACAGCACATCCCATTTTTCTATTGTTCTCCAAAATCTATCGTCCTTATTTTTAATTCCTCTTACATTCCAGAACACAACTTTTATCCCTACTTCATCTGCTCTGCCTCTTCTCTCCCAACTACCCCATCTTTCTCCCGAAAAACCTGTTTTATGTTTCTTTTATCCCCTTTTTGATACGCTTTTCTTTCTCTTCTTCTTTCCTCTTCCACTACTTCTCCGGTTGTTATATACCACCCATTTTATTCCCTTAACCCTGATACACTCCTTTAATTGATTAACCAGACTTCCTTTTACCCT